CGACGCCCGCGACGACGCGATGGACGAGACGTGACGTGTATAGCTGCAATGTTACTTCACTGATCAATATTGTGTATAATCATACCAAATAAAAAACTAAAACTGCATTTTAGTTAAAGACCGTGATATGGTAATGGTGGCGCTCTTGATGCCACTATCAGTCTGTATGTGAAGTAGTCGCTCGCCAGTGGGCCGGTATGCCGCTCGCATGTCTCACGACAATTGGCTCTTCATCCTTGCTGCCACATTGCCACTGTTGGATTCCTATATTATTGGTATTTAAGTAGTTACAAATTAATACTAGTTAGATTCTTTTTACTTTATAGTTTGTCTAAATAAGAAATATTAGTTTGACAATTTAGTAGGGATGGTTTGTGTAAAAGCAGGCATATTTTCGATTTTTATTCTTATCAAAGTTGGAATCGATAGATTCATGTTTATAACTTATGAATTGAAAAAAACACTGTTTTCTCAAATTAATAATGAACCGCAGAACCATTACAAATCATGAGAGTCAATATATATTTGTTACTACTACAGCCGTACGTAATCGAATTGGATTTCGCTATTATTGTCATCGCTAAATTCTCTGCACTATAATTAATACTAGAATTGTCCTCTAAATTAGTTAATAAGAAAACAATAATTTTAGTTAAGTTCGATAAATTTTATTTAAACAGAGTATCGATAGTTCATAATTGTTTGCAGCGTGTTTACACTTATTTAGACAAACTATAATATTCTTATTTCAAAAATCAGTTTAATTATAAACGGGACCAGTAAAAATAAACTATTTTCAAATAAAATTTGTGTTATTGATTTTACTATGTTTATACTAACATGTGTCCAGTCCAAACCTTACCTTACCTAAACCGTATACAGACAACGCTAAAACTCGAAAATAAAGATTACTTTTGGGTTATAGTGTGTCTAAATAATTTAGATTAGTTTGACGATTCACTTCAAATTTAGTAGGGATGGTGTGTAAAATCAGTCATGAATCTTATCGATTTTCGATTTTTATTCTTATAGAAGTTGGAATCGATAGATTCATATTTATAACTTATAAATTGAAAAAAAAAAAACACTTTTCTCAAATTAATTATTACCATTACAAATAATGAGAGTAAATAAATATTTATTACTACTACAGCAGTACGTAATCGAATTGGATTTCGCTATTATTTCTGTCATCGTTAAATTCTCTACACTATAATCAATAATATAATGATCCTCTAAATTAGTTAATAAGAAAATAATAATTTAGTTGAGTTCGATATTTATTTAACCCGAATATCGATAGTTCATAATTGTTCGCTATGCGTGTTTGTTTCGTCACTACGATACTTGTCTATTAAGTACGCCATTTGCCGTCATACAAATTGAATTCGATACTTCATAGGCGTCATTTATCAAACTAATTTAATTCATTTAGACAAACTATAACAACAACTTTCCTCGCATGATGCCTGGTGCACATTCAGCCAGTATAGTTAGTCATTCCAGTCCAGGGGACGTGGCAACGACTGTATGGTTTTCCTGTTGTTTCATCACATTTTTGACCGACTTGCCAAAAGAAGGAGATATACTCAATTCGTCTGTATGTTTTTTTATGTGTGTTACGGCATAACTCCGCCACTAGTGGACCTAATTCTTTTTTTTACCCGAAAGGTAATGTTTGCGGGTGGGTCCCATTTTTGACCGACTTCCTAAAAGAAGTACTCAATTCGTCCGTTTTTTTTTTATTTTTTTTATGTGTGTTACGGCATAACTCCGACGCTAGTGGACCGATTTTGATAATTCTTTTTTTTATTCGAAAGGTAATGCTTGCAGGTGGGTCCCATTTTTTTTTATTGATTTTTGGAGTCAAAGACTACGACGTAGTTAATTAGTTTAGCTCAAAATCGCGCGACGAAATTTAGGGTCATTTTTGCTTTCTTTGCTTACGTAGCCTAAACTATAAGATCTACATAAAAATGATGTATGAAAGAATTGTAGCTCATTTAATTAGCTAAATAAAAGTCCGCGATACCATATATCTATCTCTTAAGGTTGTCGCGCAATAACCATTTGTTTCGCGAAAATCGTCAAATAAATGCAATCGACTACATTTAAAACGCTTTTATTCTTATTTGGTATGAATCCTTATCCAAATAAATATGTTTTCACGATAGAGTATTAAATGTAGATCATAATTACTTTTTACAGTATGTAATTCTGGCTAAGATTCTAGAAATTATCAAAATATTAAAACTCACGGGCAACAGCGGCGCGCGGCTGGACAGAATTTTATGAGTGATTGGTCGCAACGATGTATGTATTAGTTCTTTACTTAATTTCTTAGATAACTCATACTTTGAAAGCTAGGGATTATCATACTGTAATGTTTAGATTCACTTAAAATCGAGAAATAAATAAACTTTTTAATAAAAAAACAAAACCGACTTCCAAACAAAATACAGTAAAAACAAAATATTCTCAAAAAACAGTACACTAAAAAGTAACGAAATAATTCCTACAAGCGTTTTAAATGAAATCGTTTGCATTTATTTGACGGTTTTCGCGAAACAAACGGTTATTGTGCGACAACCTTAAGAGATAGATATATGGTATCGCGGACTTTTATTTAGCTAATTAAATGAGCTACAATTCTTTCATACATCATTTTTATGTAGATCTTATAGTTTAGGCTACGTAAGCCAAGAAAGAAAACTTTGATACAAGTTGGTATTTTTTTCTGCGACTCGTAATTTGCTTTTTATGACATCTCCTAAACTATTGATCGGAATTATATAGTTCCAAGGGCATTTATAATCTATTTATTACTATACTTTTAATTGTAAAAAGCCTTACGTATAAATATCACTGCATACCTCGGCTGACACCGACTTCAAAGTAACAATAATTGTACATTAAAGACATACCAGTTACAATAAGGGACGTTTACTATTTTCAAGGAACTATTTCGTTTTTAGTCTACTGTTTTTTTGAGAATATTTTGTTTTTAGGGTATTTTTATACAGAGTAGTGTTGCATTTTGAGTATTGTGTGAATGTAACATGATTGCTTTTAAAGACTTTGTGGCCTGACAGCCGCAAATACCATGTTTAAACGACATCGAAACGGCGCTGGCGTAAGCAGCGAATGCGGGCGTAGGTGTTTACGTTTTTTACTATAAAAGAATTTTGCCACCCCACAAAATCTTCCGCCTAGAATTCAACCTCCTTAGCCTGCTTGCAAATCCGCCCTTCATTCGACAAGAACGGTACCGATACGGTGGTTTAGATTCGTAGTGTTCCGTTTTATTTCCGAAAAATGATTTATTGTATTTTTGTATGTATTAAAATAACTCAAAAATTACTGGGCCGATTTTAAAAATTCTTTCACCATCCGAAAGGTAATTTATTATTACTAATGTTTAGGAACTACTAATAAAAAGCGTGTTTCTAGACGCCGGCGTTCAAAATTCACTAAACTTTAACTTTTCTCGGCGTACGCTGCCTAAAACTTTAGAGGTGTATAAAAATGGTGTATGAAAGAATTGTAGATCTCAAAAAGTTCTACAAACAAGTCCGCAATAGCATATATCTATCTTTAACGGTTTCCTTGCAAAAACCTCTTTTTTGTTTATAAAATTAATTAAAAACCGCACGCTGTTTGCGGTCTTCTTTTTTATGTTTCAATATTAGTCCTTATCCAAATAAATGCGTTTGTTATAAGGAGAATTTAATGTAGCATAAAATTGTCCTTTACAGTATTTAAATTGAACTAATAGTTTAGTTTAGAAGATATCGCGAACACGAACAATAAGGGTAACCGAAAAATCATTATATATAATTTCCAGGAATCGATAACATTTTTTTTGCGGACCATTTGGCGCCCCCTAGGAGATGCGCCCGGGGCAAGATGCCCCCTTTTGCCCCCCCCCTCTCGCTACGCCACTGAACCTCTTTCTTACAAACCAGTCCGCCACGTCATCGCTCTAAGTCGAGCGATCATTTTAATGACTCGCCATTGGGGACATGATGTAATTAGTTGAACCGCTTGCGGGACACGGCGTACGCTTGCCCTTGCACACAAACAGGATAAAGAATAGGTGTACGAGTAGAACGTCGACGTAATTGTTTAGCTTGTACGGTGGACGGCGCGGGTCGCGAGTCGGAGCCGCCCGGAGGAGCGGTCGGCCAAGTCGTGGCCCTCAGCATTTCCGTAGTGCGGCGCGCGCGGCGCGCGCGGCGGTGCGCAGTCGCCGCGCGACGCGGTGCTCTGCCAATCGCCGCCAGTCGCGTCGCTCGTTCCGGTCGCGAAGCGCGCTTTGTGGGCATGGCACTGGGCCGGGGAGCTGTGGCGAGCGCCGCGTTGCTGGTGGCCGCGGCCGGCTCGCTCCTGCCGCTGGAGATGGAGCGGCTACGCGCGACAGTCGGCGGCTACGCCGTTATGAACTGCCATCTCGACTTCCCGTTCGGCAATGAGATACCTTACCATCTCCAATGGGATAAAGACGTAAGTCTTGACACTATTACGTGTCCATCTACTCAACGGTTTATTTTGCTTGTGACTTGTCATCTCCTATAATATTGTCAATTTTCATATTTTGTATCCAAACACGACGACACAAGCATAACTAACTCTAATCAAAGAACAATTTTTTCTCCGAGGCGGATGATTTTTAAGAAGCATCTCGATTTATGCCTGTTGTTAAAACGTATAATCCAACTGCTGTCTTCTCTTGGGTCACACGCATGTTATGTGATACGATGATTGGCTCCCAATGACCCTCCTCACGATCAACAAAAGAGTAATTTTCTAAGGCAAAATACAGCGGCACCATATTACAAAACTACAAAGCACCGCGCACGTGCGCCTTGCGGCCGCGTGCGTGTCTCGTCGCGGCCGCGTGCTTGACGAGACCGCGTTGATAGTTTTTACATAATTATTTTCTAGCTTTAGATATATTTAATATATTTTTAACTATAAAGATAAAACCTGTAACCAACACAGAGAAGAGAAAAAGTCCCCCGGAAGCCTTTTCTTGCGTAGCTCCGGCACACTAAAGACATTTCGTATTGCGTCTCTCCATCGCTAGAACTAACGCACTCCAACTATGTATAAGGATCTGCAATCTATGCTTTTAGGTTTAATTTTTTTTGCTTTGCGGTGGGGCGTCAGTTCGCACAGCGTTGTGAAACGTTTTGTCCTCTGCGGTATTTCCAAACAAATACGACTTACAGTCCTTCAAGAAGCGAGCCTATCATTTCCTCAAAGGCCGCCACCGCCAACGCATCTGTAGTTCGTTTGGTGTTGCAGATGACCATAGGCGTTGTTGACCACCTCGGCGTTCTCCCCGCTCGTTTACCTCTTTTATTATAAAGAAGATATCATGCCTTTTGGGTGAAAGACAGGTTATGAGAGATTCCACATGATTAAATCCAAAGGTGCGCACAGGGTTACCGCATTAATATTAAACCAATGAGTGTTAACACTTTGTCGTTTTGTATATGTGTTTGTGGCCGTTACGTTACGTACAAAAACCGATTTGAATTCTGTTAGCAAACTAACGTTTCATGTAAATTAGTGTTTTAAAAAAAAATATATTCAAAATGATTTAGGTAATTTTAATTTGAAATATAAAGATACGTATATTATTTGTTTAAGCAATCTTTTTAAATGGACCACAATTTATACAAGGAGCGTGGCACTTTGTATTATGATGTGTATGGTTATTGTTTCCGTCGTCATCTCAATGAATACAAAATGTTCGAGCGACTGTAGATTTTAAATTGTAATACCGCCCGATGTCACGACTGTACTGTACTTAGTGTGTACAAGTGGACCGCGAGAGAACGCGGCTCGTGGCGGCTCGTGGCGGCTTGCGACTTGCGGCGCTCCAGATCCTTAATCATGTTAATTTGGTGCGCGTGGGCCGCGAGGACTGTGTCGTCCCCCGCCTGCATGCCCACGCCAACTGCGCTGTGCACCTGTTACAAATATAAAACCATTTCCCACGACAAAAAAGTCTAAATTAAACAAATCTATGTAGTTAATACAATTAAAGCGTCCGTATGTTATGTGTCTGTTGTATTATGTACAGTTTATTTCTTTTTTTCCTTTTGAAAACGAAAACGCAAATCGTAAAGGAAGTAATTGTACCTTACAATGTAACTAGGAAATGCCCCAGGCTTCGTTTGTCGGTTAGAAGACACTACATAGTTAAAGAACTTTTGTAGCAAACTTTTAGCAATGCACTCTCTTGAAACAGTTACGGAAGGAATAACCTTAACAAAATTTAAATTGTCTTATTTACCGCTCATCTGCAGAATACATAATAGAAATATTAATGATCGTTGTATACAACCAACGCACCCTGTGGTTCTAACGGTGTGTTACAAAGTCTTCAGACAGTTAGTTTCTTGATACATTGATTTTATGTGATGAAGGCGATACTTCCAGTTGCACAAAAAACGTTTTATTTAAGGGTTCCGTAACTGCATTTTGAAATAGGAAATATTGTTGTAAATGAAACCTACTTTATGTAGAGGTTGCAGTGTGAGACTGGCTGTATACGATTATTTAAATAATGACATATGTTAATTTAAGTTAGTTGTTCGAAAATAGAGAAAAAAAACACGTTTTGAATAGTATAAAAATGATATCTTATTTTTATACACAATTGTATTAATATTAATTTAAATGAGAATAAAGAACAAACTTTATTTATTTAATCATTTTGTATGCTGGCTAAACCAAATTCCTATCAGAAAAAAACTCTTTCATACTGTTTAAACACTTTCATCACTTTTTTCATGGAATAACAATAAAAAACCACACAGAATGCGTAAAGTGAAGTGAACTGACAAGCTATGTCACTGTCTATGTTGGCGTTGTTCCGCTCCGCCCTAATAGATGGCGCTGTGGCGAGATTGTCTATTATTGAAGCACGATATAACTAGCGTCTCGCCACAGGCCAAGTTCTCCGCTGGTCGCGGGCTCTCTACACTCTATAAATCAGTAGTGCGTCCTGTCATGACGTATGCTAGCCCGGTATTCGCGCAATCTCACCGAAACAAATACATCGACTTCAGGTGATTCGGTATAGATTCCTGCGCAAAGCCACGGGGGCCCCGTGATACATGCGCATTAGTGATATTCACGTATACTTGGACTTGGACTTACCCACCACCACTATAGCCCAACACGTGAAGCTGGCGTCGCGTCGTTATTTTGACTCTGCCGTCGGTCATCCTAATAAGTTAGTTGTAGGTGCCGCCACCTACAACCCAATCGCAGACCTTGGTACATTCTTGACTCCAAGACGACGCAATAACAATCGCTCAGGCTAGGATTAAATAACTACGACAGACAAAACGCCGTAGTCGCTGTCGACTACGGCAATCATTCCCGCGATACGGCCTCGTAGCAGGCAGGTTTTCTCCTATCAATGATAGAAGCGTTGCTGGAGTTTTTTCCGCCAGTTCTTCTCTTAGCGCTAACACTTTCCAATGGTGGTAGTAATGTTAGATGTATTAATAATTACAATAGTTATCAGATAGTAGCAACCGATCAAGTCGAGGTTCGGCCCTCTCGGGCGCCCTTGAATCGGAATGCTAAACGCGTATTGAGTGACAGCCCAAGCCGAGGTCTCCTCTCGGGGGCCCTAGTCACTCCATGGAGCGTCCACCGAAGCGATCTAAGAGCTCGGTGGCCTTTCAATCCGGTAATAATAACGAAGTAACGGCTCGTGCCGAGGCTCCTGAGGGAGCCCTCGGGCTTAGATACTCATAAACGAGGTTTAGGCTAAGCGCCATCTGCGCTCGGCCACCTCAAGCCCGGTGAATCTGTAAATGCCTCTTCAAGGCAAACAGTAGCCATTCAATTACAAAAAAGGGCTCTTTGTTTTTGGTGGCTGTTCTTTGCGTTTTCATTGTGGTTGTTGTTTTGTAGTTTTCGGTCGTTTTTCCGTTGCGTTGGTCGAGTCGTCCAAATTTCGGACACGGTTACGTAGGAAACAAAACAATTAAAACAGATCCGTTCAGCCGTTTAGGCTACGAACGCTAATAAACATCCATCCATCCATCGTAACTTTCGCATTCATAATATTTGTATGATATGATATATGACATGATTAAATAATTCTTTTAAAATATCCAATTGTCAAATTCTGTCAAAGTAAACCCTAAACCCTAAACCATAAACCCTATTACCCTGATGTTCAATTGGCATTTTTTAGTTAACAAAATTTCCGGGTAACAAAAGATCTATGCGCCACTATGTTTTATTATAATATGTATTATCTACAGCTTTCGCTAGTAAAATTAGCCTAAACAAAAAAAAAAAACAAAATTAAGTATCCTATGTGTTCTTCCAGACTATCCTCAGCTACATCTATGCCAAATTTAATTAAGATCCGTTCGACAGTTTAGACTATAAAATCTACAAACATCCATTCATCTAAACCTTCGCATTTACAATAGCATGATTTTAAGCTATCTGAGCCTTTGAGTCGTAGCGCAGCGCGCTAGTTGTGCGCAAGCAGTGCAGTGCAGTGACGGTGCCGCGGGCCTGGTGCGTTGCAGGGCGAGACGATCCTGTCGTGGCTGAGCGGAGAGGGCACTGCGCGCGTGGCAGACCGCTGGGGCGGGCGAGTCCGGCGCGTGGGCGCGGCCGGCGCGCCCGCTGGGCTCGGCCGCGGCTCCATCAACGTGAGCGCCGTGCGTGAGACCGACGCCGGCCTGTACCGCTGTCTAGTGCTCTTTCCCAACCGCTCGCCTCCGGCGCGCAACAACGGAACCTTCTACTATCTCGAGGTGGACGGTTCGTATGCCAAAAAAATACATACAAGTTTGTAAACAATCTAAATCTTACCTGCGAGGTTTATGACCTGACCAAAACTGAAAAATCTTTAACTTGGAGGTGGTATTTAATTAAACTAATTAACTTTTTGTAACTTCGAAAGCCATGAAACGAATTTAATAACTAGTTTCACCATCACGCAGTTAACTTATTTCGAGTTGTTCTTAGAATGTAGTAATATAATAATTTTATTTACTTTGAAGGAGGGAACTTAATAGTGACTCCACCGATGAACACGAGTGTGGTGGAGGGCGAGCCCGCCGAGCTGGAGTGCGCGCCCCGGGCTGCGGGCGCAGTTGTGCAGTGGTGGCGTGTGGGCGGCGGCGATGCGCTCGCGGCCGCGCCCAACGGCAGCCTGATGCTTGGCCGCGCCGCCGCCGCTGACCTGGGCGAGTACGAGTGCCGCGTGCGCTCGCCCGACGGCCAGCTACAGACCGCCAGCGCATTCCTCGATGTGCACTGTAAGCGCAACCTCGACCTGCAGGGGCAAAGGACAAAAGGATTGTTGACTCTCCCGATTTTAAGTGACATCTGGCAATGCCTGCTTCTTCGCCCTTGGTTCCCGGTCGTCTAAGGTTCTACCCGACCGTACTCGGTGGTCCAGGCCGCGTGACTGGCACATCCAGCCCGCTGGATGCGAAAGAGAACATAGAAGAACTTACTATTGGCTAAATTCTGTTTTTTACTTCCATCTTTCAAATACTATTGACTACTGTCATGTTCCAGATAAAGCGAAAGTGGTGTATTCACCTAAGGAGAGATATTTATCTGCGGGTAAGGCGGCGAGCCTCGATTGCCACTTCAGCGCCAACCCGCCGCTTACCAACCTGCGCTGGGAGAAGGACGGCTTCCTCTTCGACCCCTACAATGTGCCGGGCGTTTTCTACAGCATGAACGGCAGTTTATTATTTAATCGGGTAAGTTGATAACCTTATTAGCATCGCTCGCAGCGAAGCCGACACGACTTACTGATAGTCAGCTAGTGAGCAGCTCCCCACCTCCGTCGCTCGGTGCACGCGCATTCCCGGAATCTATATTAAAAATTTTACTTGATGATTTTGCTTCTGGAACATTAATTTCCGTAAAAATGAATGAATTGACCCGAGATTAATAAAAGATGACCTTCTGGTCTGGTTGGTTCAACAAACCGCATCTGTACTTTAATTGCACTCTGGCTCTTTTACAGTTACCGATAACTTTTTTAATTTTTTTTTCATTCGTAAAGCTAACCCTTGACCACTGTTGATTCGATATCAACGATGCAATCTTCTAAACGTACCAACGCCACATTCTGTCATATACGTTGTGAACTTTAACACTCATGTTAACGACGGTCATTCATTGTGATGCGAACTTCAGTATTGTGTACTAAGGGCGTCGCAGCAGTTGATTGCAGCTGGCGACGCCCATGCTGTGTACAGTACTGCGAAGCTATAGTAAGTGTGCGGCTGGATTCGGTCCACAGCCCACACACAACAGCACAATGATACATTATTATTTGTGTGAAACATGATGTGTATCAAAATAGCTATTGCTCGCTCTTCGTCAGTCTACATAGCCTTCCATCACTTATTCGCACACCTCTATACCTGACCGACTCGCTTGGCTGCTTGATTGCGACTTTTTTTCCGCACCCCTCTCCGCAGGCACCGCGCCCGTCCGTACTAAAGAGAAGGATTTTTCAACTACCCGACCGTGAGGGAGAAATAAAATAATCCCGGTTACCCTCATTAACGCGGGTAGCGAAATTCAAAGTATGTTCGTATGAACGCATACGATCTGTTCTGAACATTATTCGCATCGGCAACATCGTTGATAGGTCTGGGTCTTGTAGGCGTTGTCGGGATAAAGTGCGAACACCACAAAGTAAATAGTCACAGCTGTATGATATTTAATTAGAATTTATCTACATATACGCTAATATTTTAAAGAGGAAAAAAATTTTTAATCGTTTCTTTTTTATTTTATGAACTTAACTTGACTGGGTTTACACTGACGACACAATAACGACAAATAAAAACATTGTATATTTTATACGCAATTGATTCGTGAGGATTTTTTAGAAATTATTTTATAAACATAACTACTATATATTTTATTAAAATAGCATGTTACCATATTAGGCAAATATTAAAGCTGGTAAGATTAACAATAACGCATATTTGCGGGGGAAGTGTTTAGAAATTGTTTTTTAGACAAGTGGTTTGGTGGCGCGGCGCGGAGGCGTGAAGTTTTCCCAGCAAGATTCCCGCATTTAGTGTTTAAACAACCGGCAAAAACATGACATAAATCATCCAGTAAATTGTTGAAACAACGATTTTTTTTTATATTTAGGGCCTCTCCTACCGAATTGTAAATTGCCTGATAACAAACCAACGTGTAAAAACCGACTTCCAAACACGAAAAACAAAACAAAATGCACTAAAAACAAAACAAAATGCACCAAAAACAAAATATTCTCAAAAAAAAAAAC